TCTCTCTCTCTCTCTCTCTCTCTCTCTCTCTCTCTCTCTGTGTGTGTGTGTGTGTGTGTGTGTGTGTGTGTGTGTGTGTGTGTGGCCCACCTCCTAAGACAATTCTTGCAGATGATGGCATCATGATTTAGAGTGATGTTCGTTTCTGAGTAATATTTAAATTGGGAAATAGTTGCTAGTGCCAACCACACCCTCGGGGTTTTCAATCCTATTGCGAGAGATTCCGAATTCCTGTCCTAACTCACTAGCCTTGACCCAGACACGTTCCCCTACCTGAAATGTGGATTGTCTACGATGTTGATTCTTAGAAGCAATCATTGCTTGCTGAGCTTTCTTCATTTGCTCGACAGCTTCTTACAACAACTTCTCATATTCCACACCATACTCAAGGGTTTTTGGAGTTGCAGCGGGTCGGTTTTCAGGTAGGAGGAAGTCTAATGCTGATCTAGGCTTCCATCCCAAGTGAAGTTGATTAGGACTAACGCCCGTACTGTTGTGGACAGCATTGTTGTACAGGCTGGCGATGAGAGGCAACTGTTCATCCCAGTCATTCTGGCTGGGCTTGATGTAATGCCTCAGCAAGTGTTGTACAACTCTGTTCATTTGCTCGGCTTGTCCGCTGGCTTCGGGATGATTCCCTGAAATCATATGAAGTTGACTGCCCATCTGTTTTGCAGTCTTCTTCCACAACTCACTTGTGAATCGGACATCTCGGTCACTAACGATTGACTTTGGTAAACCAAAGTCACGCACCCAGTTGTCTTTGAACAACTTGATGACATAGTCAGTTCTTGCGGTCTCTGGCATAGGCACTAGTCTAGCGTACTTAGTGAATCGATCGATGATGACAAAGATGTGTCTCTTGCCACTCTTACTAGTCACCAGGGTGTCCATGAAATCCATGGAAACACTTTGTCCTGGACCAGCAGGAATAAGCAAAGGCTTCAACAACCCAAGCGGTGCTTGAGTTCGCGGTTTGTCCCACTGACACACCTGACAGGTCTCTACGCACTTCTTTGTGTCATCTAACATTCCTGGCCAATACTCATCTTCTTGTAGCCGAAGTGTCCCGTTGCGTCATGGCATTCTCCTAAGAATAAACTACGCAAAGGTTCACTAGATAGAACTACTAATTTTTTTATTCCGGCCTTATCAAGATAGAGGAGCCCGTCCACCATCACAAACTCATTTTCCGTGGCCTTGTCTTTTGCCTGAAGTTTGCGAATGATGTCCATCGTGACAGGGTCTTCCTGATAGGCTCCCACCAACGATTGAGTTACTTCTTCAGATACGCCAAAATCAGAAACTACCGCACCWAGGTAGTCTGCTCTACGTGATAGCGCATCAGCAACCTTGTTATACTCTCCCTTTAAGTACTCAAGCTTGAAGTCATATTGGTCTATGACCTCAATCCATCGCTTGAGTGTGTCAAAAAGAGTCGGTTGAGTCTTGATCCATTTCAGGGTCTAATGATCAGTCTTCAAGTAGAAGAACCTTCCGAATAGGAAGTGTCTCCAATGGACAAGTGCTTTATATAGAGCATAGAGTTCCCTTTCATAGGTGGACTTTGCCAACTTCTTTGATGACATCTTCTTGCTCAACAACTTTTTTCCATCATGTTGAGTCAGCACTGCGCCAATGCCGTATTGGCTTGCGTCAGTGGTCACTGTGAATGGTTTCTGAGGATTGGGAACCATGAGAACCTCGTGATTCATGAGTGCATGCTTCAATCTCTTGAAAGCACCCTCGCACTCATCACTCCAGTCCCACGATGTGTCAAGTCGAGTTAGATCAGTCAAAGGAGAGGCGACTCTTATAAAAGCCGCACATTCCTAAGAATGATCTGACCTCAGTGACTGTCTGAGGTCGTGGCCAGTCTCGAATACTATCCACCTTCGCATCTTCCGGCCTAATCCCCTTCGCGGATACTTCATGACCCAAGTATAGTATCTTAGTGCGACCGAACTCACACTTCTCTAAGTTGACCTTATACTTGTGTTGTCGCAGGAGTGAAAGTACCATCTCAACATGATGCGCATGCTCCTCGGCAGACGTACTAAAGATCAGAATGTCGTCCAAGTAAACCACGACAAACTTATATAAATGGTCATGGAAGATCCGATTTATAGCGTGCTGGAATGTACCCATCACATTGCAAAGATCAAAAGGCATCACTACAAACTCATACAAACCGTATCTGGTCTGAAAGGTTATCTTGTGTTGGTCCTCGGGTCTTATTGCGATTTGGTGATATCCGGATTTCAAGCCTATCTTACTATAGTACTTGCATCCGTGCACCCTATCCAGGAGGTCCTCTATGCGAGGTAGAGGCTCTACGTTCTTTACTGTGATGGCATTGAAGCCTCTATAGTCAATGCACATCCTCAAAGTACCCCCCTTCTTCGATACGAATAGCACGGGAGATCCGTAAGGGAAAGTACTAGGCCGAATCCATCCCTTCTCTGTCAGCTCCTTAAGATGTCGCCGAAGTTCATCTAACTCGGCGGGGGTCATCCTATAGATCCTTCCCTTTGAGGTTTTACTCCCTGGAATGATTTCTATAGCGTGGACGGCTTCCCTTTCAACAACTTTTGTAGGTTCCTCGAACAGATCAAGGAACTTAGCAACGACGTGTTCTATCTCTGGGGGTGTTTTAACAGCCTCCCCTTTCTCAGAGACATACACAAGGTACATACCCTCCTCTTCGTTTTGCTTATAGTAATGGTAGAACGTTGATGAGCACAAGCAACCATAGGTATCTATAATGTTACTGGCTTTGAACTTGGTCAATCTGACATTTCTGCCATCGGACAACTTATGCTTGAGCACCTTCTTATCCCGGTCAAACTGGGGCTTACCAACTTCGAGGTAGTACATGTCTGACAACATGTTGAATGGTAAGTCGTCGCTAACCAAGAACGAGATCTTATGGTTAAGTTCTCCTCTTCCATAGGAGAAGGTACAGACTACGTCCTTGATATAGTCTGTTACAATCATGCGCTCTTTGTTGCCTAAAGTACATGCTACTGGTCTACTAAGGTGTCGCACCCGGTCCTGTTGGTGCATCATTTTCAAACAATCGCGACTTATGTAATTTCGTGTAGATCCGATGTAAATGAAGGCACCACATTTGCGGCCTCCTACATCCACTTCCACCACGAAATGTTCCCCTCTAGGACCTTTCCTTAGCGCCACCCAAGACTTGCGAGGGTCCTTATTTGACCACTCACCTTCTAAGTCTTCTAAGGCTTCAGACACATCTAATGTACAGAGCATAGTTTGGTCTAGATGTGTATGCGGGGTGACTAAGGAGTCATTAGCTTTGGCCTTGTCATGAAGTGGGGAGGGTATCAAGCCCACTTCATCTTGAGTAGAAGCAGCTAATACTTTCACTGGCCTTACGCGTTTCCCGAGCTAGAAGCCTGGGAATAAGATGTCCCTATCTTTAGGGCTACCTTTTGCGAAACCTTTGCATTCTGACACTTGTACTGCGAGTGTCCGTATTCCCCGCAGTTGATACAAGCGCCACGCGCTCGGCGACCACGCCACACGTCTTGATCAAGACCTGCCTTAACCCACTCAGCCTGCTTGGTCTGATTGGAGGCAGCCTTCCCTTGACTCCTAGGTTGGCCCTTCCCTCGGCCACCTGCCTTAGTCTTGACTACCGCGGCGAGGGTGTTACCCTCAGATACCTCCTCGTCGTCAAACTCTGTATAGTCCATCATGTCAATGAGCTCGTCGATCTCAGTTTAACCCCCATCGGATTCCACCATCATCAACTTAGCCCCTTCTTCTTCCACTCCTGAGGACTCTTCTTCTTCTTCGTTTCACTCTGAGAGGGTTGAGCATTGCCTAGAGTTGCCTCCAAATCTAAGGCTTTCCTAGACAACGCCTCAAATCTCGTGGTACTCGGTGCGTGCCTCGCTGCCCAGCAAGTTCCTGATGCTCTCCGAAAGACATCTAACAAACGTTGTTAACAGGAACTGGTCACTGTAGTTGATGCCAGGAACAAGGATCAGGCTCTCAACGGTAGTCGTAAGCTCTCTGACCGACTTAAAACTTTCGTTGGTCTAGTCTGTTAATCGCATCAGTGGCTTTTTTGTGCCTCCTGTGGATTATGCCATCGAGCTTCTACCATTTCCATGAACTGGTCTAACGTTAGAGTCTTAGCCCAGTCCGTCATGCGTCGCCCGTACCCGACCTTTATAACTACACCATCTAGCCATTTGGCTGCCTAACCCTCGAGGTAGTATGCAGCGGTAACCACTTGCTCCTCTTGGCCTTCACCCAAACCGGGACAGTCCTCAACCAAGTGTTGAGGTCCTTATCCTTTCTCTCGCCTGAGAAGGCAAGAGGCGGTTTTATTGGGGTCTTAGGATACCATTCACCCTGCGGCTGTCCAGATTGTTGAACAGGTTGTTGCGGTGGTGTAGCTCCCACCGCTGGACCCGAAGAAGAAGATGCAACAGTCTGTGCGACTGCTGCAGACGTACCACTTGGTTGTGTACCAGCTTGAACTGGAAAGGGGCATGACATCGCCGATCACGGCAACGGTGATTGTGCTGGTGGCCTAAATCCTGGCCTTGTCAAAGCTTCCAGGATCTGGTCTAGAGTGCTCTGCATGAAGTCTAATCAGTTGTCCACGTGCGCATGCAACAACAACATATTCTTCTTCAATATTTTCATTTGGTCAGACAATGTTGACTCATCCAAGCCCTCTAACTCAGCCTTGTCAGCCTCTAAAGTATCAAGCCTGGTTGTTTTATTTTTTATCTCTCTTTCTCTATCGATAGCTTTCTTCAGGTCCCTCTCTTACTGTTCACGGATCCTTTCGACCTGCTGGAGCTCCCTGAGCTCCCGTTCGCTCAACGGGCTGAACTGCGCGTCCGCCATTTGACTTGTAGAGTGACGAGAACCTAATGAACCAAAAGTACCCGTGGACCCTGTTGGCATTCCCAACTGGGTCTCATTGGTCTCATACAACGCAGCAGAGGATGTTGCTGAACTAGTCATGGTTGCTGCCCTGACTTCTGCTGCAGCCTGTTCCCTAGCTGCGGCGTTTGTTGTTTCCCTAGCTGTTGCTAGTAAACGGGCTCTACGTTCGGCATAAAGCCGTCTTTCGTCTTCCGGTTGTAAGGTCTGGAACACGTGCGGGATCCTACGTGATCTCCCACGTGTTAGTCTAGCATCGTCAACTCCCTCCTTATCGACGTCTGACCCGTTTATGAATTAGGCAAACATTATCTGCACTAGAACCCCCTGTTGGAATCCTACCGCAACATGTGTCTGACCGGCACCTAATTTTCTAAAAATAGTTGTGTCCGGAAGGTTCCCTACTGTACCAAACAAGTGGCATGTCTACAACATTCACACGAATTGTCTACATAGTCTAGATGTACTCTGATTCGTTCACTTACAACAGCATAAGACAGAACTGGCTATGGTAGCATACAACAGTCCTAATCAAATCTGTCTGTGAGGAGTTAGCAGTCTGTCCACCAACTAATCAAAATACAAAAAGACCATGTTGCAGATGTATGATGAGTGGGTATGGTTGTATATTCAGTTGAGCACCAATTAGAACCTACCCTCCCCTCAATCCAACAAACCGAACAGCATCATTGAGCAGGCAGTGTCTTTGTGTGTATTTCGTCCCACCCCTATGCCGAAGTCGCTACCGAGCAAGCCAGGAATTCTTTAACGTCGCAGTCAGAACGACGATCACAAGCAGATTCACAATGAACTCCCAACCAGAAATGTTTATAGACGGTCTGATAAGCATCTGTCATGGGCAGGCACACCCGGCAGGACTTCTATTTAGCGCAGTAAGTGCCAAAATGGATAGCAGCCATCGCTTGCGTGACCTACTCCCATTGGGTTGGCATGGTGACCGTGACCCAATGCTTCGACACGGGCCGTTCAGAGGCACCGCCCTTACTCCTTCCAGATTCTTTTGGAAAGATTGTCGTCTCTCAAGGAAGCACGCTCACGACACGTCACCAGAAGAGAGGACTCTCAAGTTGGACTCACTTCCTCATGGTAAGAAGAGATTGAGAGAGTACATAAGGTAAGGGAACAACGTACCTGGAGATAGTTGCCCCCAAACACAGATTTCTCACCAATTGAGTTAAGTGTGCATTTGATGACCAGTCTTGGCCTCGGTACCACCCACAACGTAATGCAGTGCCACCTCAGCCGAATGCCACATCAGCATGCTCTCATCACCAATCATACATTCTGCATGTCACCACGGCATACACTGTCGTCTTAGCCTTCCGGTGCACCCCTCTCTACCCAGGGCGTGCGCCTATATGTGGCCTAACGTCACAAGTACCAACTCCGAAGAAGCATCGTCAACGCACCAAGTCTATATAACGCCAGTGTGCCAGAGGTAAGTGGCGAATCATACCAGCTCTGAAAGCACTGATACCAAATTGCAAGGAACATGAATATGGACGAAGCACAAAAATCCAGAATGCAAAATCACACTGAAGTCCAACTAGTCAAAGCCAGAGCAGATAGTACAATGGAACCGAGTAACCATCTAATTGAGAATGATACAGAAGAATCGTGAGTCAATGTTCATGCCCAACAGGGCAACACCAACAGCATAACCCAATGTAGCTCTCTCTTATGAATGGCGCCGACGCCCTATCAAATCTACAACCTAGCCTACAACTACAGCAATGAAAGCAACCAGACAACTTGACTACCAGCGAGTGATGATGTCCACGCCAATGCCGACCTCCACCTCCACCAGGTATGTGTCCTCTTCACCCACACTCTCCCTTGTACCCACACAGCGCCCTTCACCTCCAAGGAACCACCTTCGCCCTTCACCTCTCCTGCACCCTCATGCGGCCCGGCTATGGCTGCCAGTGCCCTGCATGCAGGCATCGCCCTACCGCCGAGCGCTAGCCTGTTGGACCTTAGCGCAACGCAGCTCTACACAGCGCAGTAATAAAAAAAAGGGAAAGTTTTTTTTTTCATGTGTGTGTGTGTGTGTCCATGTGTGGGGGTTAAGGGCGACTCCTTCCTCACCAATCAACCAATAAATCAAACAACCAATCCAAAAAAAGAAAAAGTGAGAAAATATTGCAAGGAACATGAATATGAACAAAGCACAGAAATCCAGAATGCAATATCACACTGAAGTCCAAGTAGTCAAAGGCAAAGCAGATAGCACAATGGAACCGAGTAACCATCCAATTGAGAATGATACAGAAGAATCGTGAGTCAATGTCCATGCCCAACAGGGCAACACCAACAGCATAACCCAATGTAGCTCTCTCTTATGAATGGCGCCAGGCACCCTATCTACTCTACAGACTAAGCGTACAACTACAGCAATGAAAGCAACCAGACAACTTGACGACCAGCGAGTGATGATGTCAACACCAATGCCGACCTCCACCTCCACCAGGTACGTGTCCTCTTCCACCCACACTCTTCCTTGTTACCCACACAGCGCCCTTCACCTCCGAAGAACCACCTTCGCCCTCACCTCCCCTGCACCATCATGTGGCCCGGCTATGGCCGCCATGCCCTGTGTGCCGGTGGCAAAACACTGACCCACGCACACACAGACGCACACATGCACAATCAATCAATCAATAAATCAATCAATCAACGAACCAATTGCAATCAATCAATCAATCAATCAATTTGATTGATTGATTGTGCATGCGTGCGTGCGTGCGTGCGTGTGTGTGTGTGTGTGTGTGTGGGTGTGGGTGTGGGTGTGTGTGTGTGTGTGTGTGTGTGTGTATGTGTGTATGTGCGCGCGCGCCCTTGTATGTGTGCGTGCGCGCTTGTGTGTGTGTGTGTGTGTGTGTGTGTGTGTGTGTGTGTGTGTGTGTGTGTGTGTGTGTGTGTGTGTGTGTATAACATGGCAGGCCCATAATCATGGGGAACCAGACCATCCTTCAGTCCAAACGTAGCATCACGTAGTGTTAGCTGCAGGCTTAACATAGCACAGGTTAGGGGGAGGGGTTATCCCATAGTCATCAACTCCATAGGAAAGTGCAGGATTAATCAGGGTGGAGCAAACTAGGGTGTTAGGAAGAGCGGGGAGCAACGATGGCATAACCATCAAGGTTGGTGTAGTGACCAACAGAGGAGGGATGACACATTCCTTCATACGCTTTTTGGCGCTTGCTCCCGTCAAGGCTCATTAGAAGGTGATGTGTTCTCATGCGCCCAGCTAAGATACCCATGGAATACCACGATGCAAAGGTCGTTAAGGCAAAACACAGTGAGGCAGATGACGGTGAGGTAACAAGGCACTGGACAACAAGAGGTTGCAAGTCACATACGGTGGAGGACATGGGGGGGAGGGCGGGCACGTAACCAACACAAAGCAAGAAGCGAAAAAGGCACAAAGTACTGATACCAAGTTGGAAAAACGGAGAGCGAAAAAAATAAAATAAACAAACGCTGGTGATGACAGACTGTTTCGTCGGAGTTGCACCGGCTCATCAGGAGGCTGAACCCTCGACAATC